AGTTTCTCTCTTCATCCAGTGCAAAGTATATATTAAAGACCTTTCCTCCTAAACATGGCCATCCATTTACAGGTTCTACAATCTTTTGTCTGCAATTCTAAAATGGAAAAAGCTTGAAAAACCAAGTGGTTTTGTGTTTCCTGCCCAAAGCCATGTGGCATCAAAACCATATCTAAACTGGCATAAAACTTTCTATTTATAGTCTTTATCCTACTTTACTAAAAATATTCTTGTTTCAGCAGAAATGCTAGTAAGTTGGATTATTGGGAGCTAGCACGGGCCCTGCTGAGGTGTCAAGTTTATGTGGTACATGTGGCATGTTATCGTCTAAATGCCAAAAACCATGAAACTCCCTGGGCAATAAGAGATTATCTTGAGTTTATGAGACTTCTCAAAAACAGGGTAGACAGGGAAATTCTTTCCCTGCAACAGCAGTGTGTTTGTTCCCAAAGGAAGAGAGGAAAATCAAGAGCACAGAGCAGGAGGAGCAGCAGGCCACGCACCTCTGGAGATGAGTGTTCCAGTGACTAAATGTTCACTATAATAAAAGGGACAAGTTCAAATTCTTGTATTTTCTTTTTATTACAGGTTTCTGGGCAAAAGGCCGGTGGGTGGGGGGAACCCTACATACTAGCTCTGTTATCATTTGGATGACTTCATAGAAACTTGCTTTAAGAAGTGTATTTTCGTTCCTCATTTTGGGATGATAGAGGATAGAGTGTATATAGCCTGGTTAAAGCTTCAGTGGAATTTTCTTTCAGACTAAACTAATATTTCAGAGGACAGTTAAGCATGGATATAGCTTCGTAAATACAAATATGCTTAACAGGGACACTGTATGATGTCTACATGGGATTAAAACAGACTTAATTTGAAGATAGGATAAGTCATCCAGGCTCATAAATTCTTTTCGGTGTCCCATTATTTTGGGTGTAACTTAATATATACTAGTATTGACACATTTGAGAAGGGCAGTTTAATATTACACAGGCCAACCTCAGTTACTTCCCAAATAGAAAATGTTACAATTTTTAACTGAATTTACTGAGAAGATCGCTAAAGTTTGTCCTTCTGTGTTTTGGCAAAGATAATTAAAAGTAACAGTAGGTTTTCCCTTTCATCCCACAATTCTCCAACATGTTTGCTGTTATAACAGAAGGGGAAGGGCTAATATAAATAAGATTATATAGTTTTTAATTGCTTCTTTTTCTTATTTCTAGTTAAGAAAGCCTCAAATATTAAGAAAATCCTCCAGATTATGGTCCAGAATGACTGGTAATTTCAGTGGCTTTAAGCTGAAGAACATATTTAACTTT